GGCTTTGGCCCCAGATATAGAGCACTCAAAGGAAGAACTATACCCTGTGATGTATGGATCCATTGGGTGGTCACTCATGAAAGAGCCATCTCTAGGAAGCTAAAATAGAGAGGGAGAGGGGCCCTTGTGTGCTCAGTCAGTTGAGCATCCAACTCTTGATTTCCCCTCAGGTCATGATCCCAGCGTTGTGGGATCAAGTCCCATGTCAGGCTCCTTGCTGAGGGTGGAGCCAGCTTAAGATTCTCTCTGTCTCTCTCTCTTTCTCCTCAGCCCCTCTTCCCAGCTCACATGTATATGTTCTTTCTCTCTCTCACATCGTCCAAAAAAAGAGAGGGGGAGAAGAGGAAATAAGCAAATGTAGGTGACCTGCTAGGTCCACACTCCTAAGAGTGGACTGCTCACCTGAAGACTGAAGTTCTGCTGCTGCTGCTGCCCGTGCCTCTGTTAACGCAAGAATCCCTAATCCTCAAGGTTGTAGGGAAAAACATCCAGTACCCCACTCAACACATGAAGAGGTTAATTCAAACTTGACTTAAGCATTATTAAATAACCCTGCCGTGGTTCTCTATCCATTCATCTGTCAATGGACATCTAGGCTGTCTTCATATCTCGGCTACTAATTATACTGCAACAAACCTAAGAATGCAGATATCACTTGGAGATAATGTTTTCATTTCCTTTTTATATATACCCAGAAGTGGGATTTCTGGATTGTACAGTACTTCTATTTTTAATATTTTAAGGAGCTGCCATTCTGTTTTCCATCATGGCAGTGCCAATTTACATTCACATCGATGGTGCACAAGGGTTCCAATCCGCATCATCACCAGTATTTGTTATCTCCTATCTTTATGATAGCCATCCTAACAAGTCTGAAATATCTCATTGTGGTTTTGATTTGCCTTTCTCTTATGATTAGTGATATTGAACACCTTTTCATATATCTGTTGGCCATTTATAGGTCTTTTCTTGAATAATGTCCATTCTTGTCTTTTGCCCAATATTTAATCTGGTGGATATTTTTTGTTTTGGGGATGGTTTGTTGTTGTTTGTTTGTTTGTTGTTCTTGTTTTGTTTTATTTTGTTTTGCTATTGAGGTGTGAGAGTGGCTGAGTGACAATGCATGGTGTGTGTGTGCTTGTAGATCACATTTTCTTTATCTGTTCACTGAATTGTAAAGCAAAAATAAACAAGTGGGAGTACATCACTAAAAAGTTTCTGCACAGCAAACAAATAATCAACAAAATGAGAAAGCAACCTCCAGAATGGGAGAAAATATGTGCAAACCATATGCCTGATAAAGAGTTAATATCGCAAATATTTCCTCCACTTCAGGATCCAATCTGTGACCACACATTATATTTAGTTGTAATGTCTTTGGTCTTCTTTAATCTAGAATAGATTCTCAGCTTTTGTCTTTCTTACTCTTGAGATTTTGAAGAGCATAGAATAATTGTTTTGGAAATTGTCCAGACATCAATTTGGATTTGCTTCATGTTTTATTATGCATTTTTCCAGTACAAAATTTCCCTCCTCCCTCCAGCACAAATTTCAATCCTTTGGATGGCAAAGTCTTTTTCAGTAAACACTAAACGTGGCATTTCACCAAAGCCTAACTTTGGCTTCCATATGCTCTACAGAAGTGAGCTTTGGAGAAAACCCTTTCAATTTCCGGTGTCTCTTGTATCACAGTTTCATGAGGCTTTGTGGTCAAGGCCGTTACAGATAGGATTATTAAATGCCACACAACTGTTCCCAGTGACCTCCAGCTAACAGGAAATTTTAGATCATCTGCAGCTAAGATTTTTTTTTTCTCATAATCTGCCTACAGATTTGGCTCACTTAAAAAAATCCTAGTTACTCTTTATTTTTTTTTTAATTTTTTTTTTATGTTTTATTTATTTCTAGGAGAGAGAGAGACAGCGTGAGCAGGGGAGGGTCAGAGAGAGAGGGAGTCACAGACCGAAAGAGGCTCCAGGCTCTGAGCTGGCAGTCAGCACAGAGCCCGACGCGGGGCTCAAACCCACGAACCGCGAGATCATGACCTAAGCAAAAGTCGGACGCTTAACCGACTAAGCCACCCAGGCGCCCCTCTAGTTACTCTTTAAAAAATACTATTTTTACACATAGTAAAACTTGTTTCTTACAATGAGGTTTTAAAAATGCATAGACACTTATCATCACTACCACAGACAAGATACTGAATAATTCCAACACCTCAAAGAGTTATCTTGTGTTATATTTTGTATTCATATCCTTACCCCCCCTCTACCTCCTGGCAACCATGGATGTGTTCTATGTATTAATATTTTTGCCTTTTCCAGGATTTCATATAAATGAAATAATACAGTATATAACCTTTTGACACTGGGTTCTTTCACTTAGTCCAATACCTTTGCGATTCATCTAAGTTGTGTGCATTAACAGTTGTTAGTTTTACTGCTGAGTAGGTTTTTTTTTTAAATGTTTTTTATTTATTTCTAGGAGAGAGAGAGACAGCGTGAGGAGGGGAGGGTCAGAGAGAGAGGGAGTCACAGATTGAAACAGGCTCCAGGCTCTGAGCTGGCAGTCAGCACAGAGCCCGATACGGGGCTCAAACTCACGAACCGCGAGGTCATGACCTAAGCGAAAGTCAGACGCTTAACCGACTAAGCCACCCAGGCGCCCCACTGCTGAGTAGTTTTGTTTCATGGGTGTGACACAGTTTGTTCATCCATTCATCTCTGGAGAACATTTGGGTTGTTTCCAGTTTATGGAGATGATCAATAAAGTTGCTCTAAGTATTCATGTACAGGTTTTGTCTGAATATAAATTTTCATTTCTTGAAAATAAATACCTGGGGCGCCTGGGTAGCTCAGTCAGCTAAGTGTCCAACTTCAGCTCAGGTCATGATCTCACGGTTCATGGGTTCAAGCCCCGCGTCAGGCTCTGTGCTGACAGCTAGCTCAGAGCCTGGAGCCTGCTTCTGATTCTGTGTCTCCCTCTCTCTGACCCTCCCCTGCTCATGCTGCCTCTCTCTCTCTCTCTCTCAGAAATAAATAAAACATTAAAAAAATTTTTAAAAAAAGAAAAGAAATACCTGGAAATGGGATTCTGGGTCCTCTAGTTAAATGTACATTTAGTTTTTACAGAAACCAGCAAATTATTATGTAGAGTAACTGTACTGTTTTGTGTTTCCTTAAGCAAAATATAAGAATTCCAGTCGCTCCACATCATTGCCAGCACTAAGTGTTGTTAGTGTTTTTTATTTTGGTCATTCTAATAAGTGCATGGGGTATCTCATTGGGTTTTAATTTGCATTTCCCTAAAGACTATGATGTTGAGCATTGATTCATGAGCATGTTTGTCATTCATCTATCTTTTTTAGTGAAGTGCATGTCCCAAAATGTAGCCCAAACAATTGGGTTGTTTGTTTTCTTATGTTGAGGTTTGAGAGTTAAATACATACTCTGTATTAAGTCCTTTGTTATATGAGTGGTGGTTACCTGATTCTACAGGTGTGATAAAATTGCATTGAAACACACACACACACATGCATGTAAAACTTGCAAAATCTGAACAAGTTCTGTAGTTCGTACCAACATAAACTTCCTGGCTTCTGATATTGTCCTATAGTTACCTAAAATGTTACCCCTAGAGGAAACTGAAGAAATACACGAACTTCTCTACATTTTTTTACAACTTCTTGTGAATCTATCACTTTCTCAAAATAAAAAGAAGAGAATCCAGAGTACAGCCAAGTTGACAAAGATATTGAATCCATAATCTTCATAACAACTTAAAAGTTTTTTCCATTAATTTTTGCATTAGTATTTATTGTCTCCTTCCTTACACTATCTTTGAATGTTCTGTGTTGTTCTTTTTCTTTCATTTTATTTTTTTAATGTTTATTCATTTTTGAAAGAGAAAGAAAGCACGAACGTGGGAGGCATAGGGAGAGAGGGGGGACAGGGGGTCCAAAGCAGGCTCTGAGCTGACAGCAGAAAGCCTGATGTGGAGCTCAAACTCACGAACCACGAGATCATGACCTGAGCCAAAGTCGGACGCCTAACCGACTGAGTCACCCAGGTACCCTTTTTTCCTAACTTTTAAAGATGAGCACTTAGCACATTAATTTTGTAGACTTCCTTCCTCTCCAATATGAAAATGTAAGGTTACAAACTTATCTCTAAGCAGAGCTTTTGCTAAATCCCAAGGAAACAAATAGGAAAGTGTGACTTTTTACTCTTTTTCCTTCTTTAAAATTGTTTTAGCTCTTCTTTTGCCTTTCCATATAAATTTTTAAATAAATGTTTAAATCCATACCAAAAAAAAATCTTGCTGTCATTTCTATAGTAATTGTGGTAAACTTATACATCAATTTGGGAAGAGTTGGGTTCTTTACTGTACTGATCTTCCAATCCATGAACATAGTATGTTTCTCTTTATTTAAAAAATATCGGATTTCTGGGGCACATGGGCGGTTAGTTAAAAGACTGACTTCAGCTCAGATCATAGTCTCATGGTTTGTGGGATTCTGCTTGGGATTCTCTCTCTCCTGCCCTCTCTCTCTGCTTCTCCCCCACTTGCATGTGCTCTCTCTCTCAAAATAAATAAATAAACTTAAAAATATATATATTTAGGGGCGTCTGGGTGGTTCAATCGGTTGAGTGTCGACTACGGCTCAGGTCATAATCTCGCCATTTGTAAGTGCTAGCCCCACATCAGGCTCTGTGCTGACAACTTGGAGCCTGGAGCCTGCTTCAAATTCTGTGATTCCTACTCTCTCTGTTCCTCCCCTGCTCACATGCTCTTTCTCTCTCAAAAATATATAAATATTAAAAATTATATATTTTTTATTACTTTTATTGGTATTTTGCAGCTTTCACCATACAGGCTCTGTGCATGTATTGTCAGATTTCTACTTAAGTATTTCACTTATTTCAGTGACTACAAGTGTTATTGTGCTTTTAATTTTTATTTCCTAAGTACATAGAAAAACAACAGAAAAGGACTTTTGTATATTTAGTGCCCTTTTTTATTAAAAAGAATTGTTCTTGTAGCTTCTTTGGGAATCAGTTAAGCTTTGTGAAATGGGCAGAACACTATTCCCTGTCACACAGATTTGTGAGTATGAAATGAAGTAAGTGTGTAATGTTTTTAGCGCAGAGCTGATACAGAGATTCAACAAATAATAGGTGCTATTATTAACAGTATCCTGTGAGGTTTCCCTTCCTCTTATCCCACCTCCGAAGGATCTATCTCTAGCAACGTTAACACTCTCCACTCCTTTGGTCTTCCTCTCCTGTCCACCTGACCCCTCAGATTTCCCTAGGGCACCGCCCTCCTGCTAGCCCTGCTCTCCATTAACCGCGCCCCTCCTGATAGCCCCGCCCCTGCTCCGCCCACTGCTTTCTCCTCCCCCAGCCCTGATCTAGCACAGCCCTTGCTCAGCGGGGCTGGAAGCTCATGGTGTAATTTCGTGGGATGGTGGCAAAGCCAACAAGCTTGGGGGACACGTCAATGTCTTGGGGCAGCTGAGGGGACTTGAAGCGGAAGTTCTGCAAGATGGTGGTGAGGAACAGAAAGAGCTCCATTCTAGCCAGGCCTTCTCCGAAACAGTACCGCTTTCCTGAAGAGACAGAATGGGAGCGCTGGAGGTGAGACCTGCTCTCATTGCCCCTTCCCCACTACACACCCCCGACTGCTGAGAGACTTTCAGAGACATCTCTAACCCTCTCTGAGCGTCAGTTTCTCTTGTACATGAGATGGGGGTGAGCTATGCCAAGCTGTAACAATGAGAAATTTAGATGCCCCTTCCCTCCAAGAACACACTCAGATATGGCTGCTGGGCTCTCACCCCCTCCCGAGGAATCTCAAGAATTTAAATGACTTTTGGGGCGCCTGGGTGTCTCAGTCGGTTAAGCCTCCAACTGCGGCTCACATCATGATCACACTGTTTGTGGGTTCGAGCCCTGCGTCGGGCTCTGTGCTGACAGCCAGCTCAGAGCCTGGAGCCTGTTTCCGATTCTGTGTCTCCCTTTCTCTCTGACCCTCCCCTGCTCACGCTCTCTCTCTCTCTCTCTCTCTCTCTGTCAGAAATAAATAAAACATTTAAAAAAATTTTTTTTTAATTTAAATGACTTTGGACAACTATCTGACTCACTAAGGGCTTTGATTTTCCCCATCTGTGAAATGGATACAATCATCCTTTTCCTGTTGCCTGGGCACAGGGACTTGGTAGTTATAGGGGTTGCAGCTGGTTGGCTCTAGAGTAGATCGTAAGAGGGACTTCCAAGCTGGAGACAGACACCAGGCTACAGCTTAGAGAGGGGATATGGGAGGAAGGAGGCCGTGTTGGTGGGAGCAGTGGCTTAGCAGCAAGCAGACAGGGGTCTCTTACCGATGGAGAAGGGCACAAAAGCATCACTCTTCTTAAACTGGCCCTTCTCATCCAGGAAGTGCTGGGGGTGGAAGTCTTGGGGGTGGGAAAAGAACTTGGGGTCTCTCAGCACGGAGCCCAGCATGGGGAACACTTCAGTGCCCTGGTGAGAAGGAGACGGGTATTTGGTAAGGTGGTGTGGGGGAGGGTTGCTGAAAGCACATGGACATTGGAGGGGCAATGGGGGTGCCCTAAGTGATGAGGAATGGGAGGCTGGAGAGTGTGGGTCCTCTGGGGACATGAGATTCGGGTCTCTGAGCCAGGTAGCTTGGCAGATATGGGGTTCATGTCTCCTGAGAAGGGAAATATGAGGGGCACAGGTTCTGTGTCTCTTAGGACAGAAGGTGTGGGGGACCCGCAGTTCATGCCTCTCAAGGCAGGAGGTTGAGAGGACATGGGGGTTCATGCTCCCTGGGACTGGGGTTTGAGAGACATCAGGTTTGTGTCCCTCTAGGCAGGATGAGATTCATGTGCTTGAGGGAGGAGGTCTAGAAATGAAGTTCACACCTCTTGAGAGAGGACGTTTGAGGGCATGGGGTTCATATTCCCCACAAAAAGAGCTTTGGGGGAGACATGGGATTCAAGAATCTCTGAGGGGAGGGTTGAAGGGACATGGTGGTTGGGGAAGTGTTTGCTTGAGGCAGTAGGACAGGGGCTGGGAAGCTTCAAAGGGAATGGGGTGCTGGGTCACAGGCAAGAGGTCAGAGGTCCCTCGAGGTGGGACAGGAAGGTACCTTGGGGAGGAGGAACTCCCGAAACTTGGTGTCCTTGGTGACTCTGCGAGCCAAACACAAGGGGATAATGTCTCCAAATCTTTGGATCTCATGGATTACCGCCTCTGTGTAGGGCATCTTGGCCCGGTCCTCAAACTTGGGTTGACGGTTCTTGCCAATCACCTTGTCAATCTCCTCAAGGAGTTTGGCTGTGGGAGGAGGGGAAGGTGTTTAAGTATCTGGGGTCTCAGGGAAGTGATGACGATCCAAATATGTACCTCCATGTGTGACATGGACTTTGACCACTCAAAACAGATGTTGGCCACATGCATTGTTGGTGCAGCGTCCCGGTCACCTGGTCCCGCCAGAATCCTGAGGAGGCATAAGGGAGGAGTTTGGGGAATGGTTTGGAGAGCAGGCAGTGGATATGCATCTGACCCAGCATGGGAGCTATTTGCCAATCAGCTCAGATATTTTCATACTTAAACACCTAGTGAAACTCGGCTGGTGCTCGTCAGTAGAATATCACCTAGTCTCTGGATAGCAGGGTATGTCTGAGGTTTCAGGGATCTGGGAAAGGTGGGGATGTTGCAGTGGGCTCAGAGGAAGTTTGAGGGCCTGTGGCCGCCACTTTGTTGCCTCCCTCCCCCACCCCACCCCCCGCATCCTTACCCTCCACATCTGGGTGCTTCATGAGCAGCAGGAAGCCATACCGCAGGGTCGTGCTGACTGTCTCAGTGCCCGCAAAGAAGAGGTTCAGTGTGGTCAGCACCAGGTTCTTCAAGTAGAACTCTGTGTTGGGGTTGTTCTTCTCCTGCAGGGAGACAGGGCTTCAGGCCAAGCCCACTCCCCTCAGGGCTCTCAGGGCCCCTCTGGGGTCTTTCCCTTTGGATGACCCCCTCTTAGATCCAGACCAGAGGTGGGAGGAGGGACTTGGTTCTCCCAGCTCTTTGTTCAGGCTGCTGGCTCTGCCCAAAATGCCCTTCCCAACACTCTTTACCCACCTGCCTATCTGTCCTTTACTCATCAGCCCTGTTTCACCTTCTTATGTTGGGAATATTGAGAAAGAGAGGGATAGAGACAATGAGTGCATGGTACGGAAGTGCTTGCTCTTATGGTTGGCGCACACAGGTCCTGCCCGTGGGCAGGGGCTCAGTAGAGGGAGCAGCCACGGTCATACTTGGGATCGTGAGGATGTTATGAGGGGAATGGTCTGAACGAGCCTCTGCTCTCCCCACCCCAGCCTGGTTTCCCTCCACCTGGCTCTGCAGCTCTCCGTGCTGGCTGTGGGGGTGTACCTCGTGCATGCGGATGAGGAAGGAGTCGATGAAGTCCCGCGGGGAGTTGGGATCTAGCGTCCGTTGGTTCTGCTCCACCTTCTTGGCTATAAAGTCCTGCAGACCCTGCAGCTCCTTAAATGCCTGTTGCTGTGGTCCTGGCAGGTGCTTCATCACTGAATAAAACATCTCATAGAGCTAAGCATGGAGAGAGAGGAAAAGACAGGAAAGACTGCTGTCAGCAGGCAGGTCTGGATGGGAGAGGGAACTTTCTCAGGGTAAGGAAAACACTAGATTAAAGGCACTTGTCCACATGTTTAGGATTTACATGGGGCTGATGGGAGGAGATGTCTAAGTTTTCACGTGAATTAAGTGTGAGAGCCCCTGTCCCAGCATGTTGGTGAGATGGTTTGGGACACATCCAGATATTCAGGTAAGGTTGAATTGGGAAACTCTTGTCCAGGTGCTTACCTATTTATATCTGATATTGGGGGAGGGGTTCCTGTTTAGATCTCTACGTATCAAGAAGGTTCAGATGGAGACAACTATCCAAATATTTAGAGGATATGGAACGGTGACTTCTGTACAGGTAGTGAGGTATTAAAGTGTGGCAGGTATGCAAGTGTTGAGGTGGAGGAAATACCTGTTCATGTGTTTCAGATATTCACACTGGGCTGGAGGGGAGCACTTGTATAAGTGTTTGACTGAGCTGGGTTGAGGAACACTATTTGGGTGTTTGCGGAACCATCTATCCAGGTATTTACATGTTTCGGGGCCTTCTTGGTTGGGGTATCTGCCCAGAGATTCAGATATTTCAGTGAGCTCTGAAGGAGCACTAATCTAGGGAGCCCAGTAGGCTGGTTTGGTACACCTGTAAAAATATCAAACGATTTTGGCAGACTGTATTTTATAGCACTAAGTGTTCATGTGTTCAGGACGTGGGCTGAGGTGAGGTAGTTGCTTGTTCAGGTGTTAAGATATCAAGATGGAGGGGCGCCTTGGTGGCTTAGTCGGTTAAGCGTCCGACTTTCACTTAGGTCATGATCTCACGGTTCGTGGGTTCGGGCCCCGCGTCAGGCTCTGTGCTGACTGCCAGCTCAGAGCCTGGAGCCTGTTTCAGTCTGTGACTCCCTCTCTCTCTGACCCTCCCCTGCTCACGCTGTCTCTCTCTCTCTACTAGAAATAAATAAAACATTAAAAAAAAAGATATCAAGATGGAAAGATGAAATATTTAACAGGCAGCCGGTTCTAGATATTAAGTAAGCAGGGATGGGAGCACATGCCCAGAGAGGAAGGCTGTGTTGATAACAACTATTGTGGCTACAGGCTGGTTTTTTTGTAGGTTTGGTTTGGTTTTGGGGGTTTTTGGTGGGGGGAGCATCCGTTGAGATATTCAGGTGTCCTTGGAAGCGGGGTATTGTGGTGTAATTGTTCCATTGGCCAAAAGTCTTGGACCCTATCTGGGACAAGATGGGAAGTTTGGGGCACCTGTCTCCATGTGGGAAAGCATTGAAAGGTTGTAGTCAGGTGTTGTAGAGCCAGACTCGGAAGGGTTACCTGACCCGTAGGTGTAGCTGTGAACTGGAAGCTTCCCAGCATCATACGCAGCAGTGACAGGAACTCTTTGTCCTCATAGTCAAAGCGGTCCCCAAAGACAATGGAGCTGATGACGTTGGACACTGTCCGGCTCAGGAAGAAGGTGGGATCGATGAAGGCACCTGGGAAATGGGATAGGGTTGAGGAGAGACAGGGATCTGGGGGAGCGTCCACTGGGCAGTCTGACGCCAACCTGAGAACTGGAGAAAGGGACCACAGTGATGAGCCAGGCTCCCAGCATAAGACCCCAGAGCCAGGAGCCTGGACGCCTTCCCCCAGTCCAGTCAGTCCCCTTCCAGGGGACTTCCAGAAAGCACACACATCTGCATGGATGCTCGCCTCCTGCTCCCTCAGTCTCCCGGGCTCACAGCTCACCCTGTGTGCCCCGCAAGGTCTCGATGAGGAAGCCCGCCTCCTCCTGGATGCGCTCCTCGATGCCGCGCTTGCCCACACCGAAGTCCCGCAGTGTGGTGATGGAGAAGCGCCGGAGCTGCTTGGCACGCTCGCCATTGCTGAATGCCACACCTGGGGAGGGAGCGTAGGGTGAGGGTGAGGGGTGGGTGCAGAGGTTGAGGGAGGTGAGCAGAGCAGAGGAATATAGGAGCAGGAGAAAATAGGATGGGTGTTGCAAGGGAGAGTGGGGAGTAGCTGTGGGAGACAGAGAGAGATACTCAAAGTCAGAGAAATACTGAAAGAGACAGAGACCAAGTTGGAAGAAAAGAAGGAAGGAGAGGGGCAAGTCAGATGCCCAGAGAAACAGAGATTTGGAGACACATAAAGACAGAAAAAGAGGTAGGGGAGGGCCAGAGGGAGGTGACATCTGTTGAGATCTAGAGGCGGCAATAAAAATCCTGAAGGATTCTAACACTGAGCTGGGGAAAGAAGAAAATAGGGAGAGAGAACGAAGAAGGTCTGGAGAGAGGAAAAGACTGTTTCCAGGGATAGAGGCATGGGGTGTGGACTGACTACAGTTCTGAGGCAGAAATCGCAGGAGCTCCTCACAGATACACAGAAGAGGCATAGGGGAGAGAGAACAGGGATGTGGGGCCAAGAAGCAGGGGAAGTAGAGACACAGACACACTGGGTCAAGTTAAAGAAGACCAGGGAGAGGGGACAATAACCAGGGACAGGGACACTGGCGGGCAGGGGGAGAGCTCGGCCACAGCCTTGAGTGGGAAGGTGAGTCAAGAGAAAAACAGTGGGGAAACTGAGGCCATCGAGTATTCCTGACCACATGCCCCCATCCAGAGCCACTAACCATAGCCTTAGAAGAAAAAGTCGAAGGTAGCCTGCACTCCTCGCCCACTGAATTCCTCAGCCTGGTCCAACAGCGCCTCCTTCACGGCCTCATGTCCACACAGCACCACGATGAGCCGCGGCCCCAGGTAGAACGTGAACACAGGGCCATAGAGCTAGCTGATCTGACCGAAGTGGCAGTGCTTAGAGGGAGCAGCCCCACTGGGAACTGGCCCCGAGCCCAGACCTCACACACTGCATGCATCTCCCCCAGGGTCTGACACTCAAGGGGCCGGACATCCCAGGGTCGGCTCTTTCCTGCCTAGGACTCTGCTGCCCCACCAGCAAAACTCCACTTTCCTAAGACTCCCATCCAACCTTGCCCACCCCCTGCCACAATGTCCCAGCTCAATTAGGCTGCCCCCCACCCCCACCCCCATCCACCATCCCCTGCCTCGTGACACCTTCATGAGAGAGTTGTACATCTGCTCTGTGTTCAGCTGCAGGTAGTTTCCGATGAAGGGCAATGGGGTGGGTCCTGGAGGGAGCTTTCCCGAAAGCTTCCTCTGCCTCCAGGCAGACATCAAGACCATTACCGTCAGGCAGGTGAGCAAAGCCACCAGAAGGAGCCCTGAGGCCAGCATGGTGGCTCTGAGAGTGATGGTTAGATGGTGCTGGTTAGGGTGGTTTGCTTTTATACCACTTGGAAAGGTAGGGCGGACTTTGATTCTGATTATGTAATTGTACCTCCAGCTACACCCTTCTGGGCTCCCCAATGAACTTGAGGCACAGCCAGCAAGGCAGTAGGATGGGACCCCAAGAAGATTAACAGGGAGAGGGTCCTAAGACACAATGTGCTGCCCCTCAGGGGAGGCCACTCCAGGGCTGCAGACTTGGGAGACATAGATTCCAGAACTGAAGAGTTTAGAGTATTTGCATGGGGAGCCCCCTGAGCTTTGGATTTTTGGGTCTCAGAGTGAGAATGGACCCCAACATGTAGGTTTTGAGGTCTCCAGAGTAAAGAATCCAAGATCTGGGTTTGAGGAGGAGATTCCAGGGAGGGAATTTGAGGATCTTAGGGCAATGGAGGACCCCTGACTGATGGGGGCTGCTGGGAGAAGTCTATGAGAATCCAGCAAGATCAGGGAGTGAGCACTTGACCCAAACTTTGCCCTACATTTGCTTTGGACATAGTGTCATCTCTGGTACTAGAATCCTCACTGGGGCCTCAGAGCGAGGTCAGGATCGGTGTCACGGCCGTCCATGGTTGGGAAAGAGGTAGAAGTCCAGAACAACATTCAAGTGGAACTTTCCTTGGGAAAAAAGAATAACTCATGGTTCCCCCACTCACACTGCCTCCCTCTCAATCTCTCTCTCAAAAATAAACATTTAAGGGCAGAAGACATGAACAGACACTTCTCCAAAGAGGACATCCAGATGGCCAACAGACACATGAAACGATGCTCAGCATCCCTCCTCATCAGGGAAATACAAATCAAAACCACAC